ATGGGTTATTATTTAGCTGATGGTATGTATCCTGAATGGTCTACAATTGTTCAAACTATTCGTGATCCTCATTCCCAACAAAAGAAATATTTCGCGATGAAGCAAGAATCGTGCCGAAAAGATGTTGAACGTGCATTCGGAGTTTTGCAATTATTGCAGGACCATTACGCTTTTGGAGAAACGAAATGGTACATGATATAATGACTACATGTATTATATTGCACAACATGACAATTGAGGATGAACGTGATCTCAATGCACCAATTTAAGATGCCGTAGAGGCTCCAACTCCAACTATAGAAATGGCGATAGTGAAAATCTCCGGTTTGAACAATTTTTAGCTAGACATAAAAAAATTAAGGACAAAAATGCTCATTTTGAACTCTGTAATGCATTAATAGAGCATTTATGGGAGCAATGTAATAATTTTGAAAATTGGCTGTTTATGTAATTGTATGTCACTTTTATTTGAATTTGTCCCCTAATTTATATATTATATTATATTTTCTTGCAATTTATGTTATTTAAAATTTAGAATAAAAATAATTTTATATCACATTAAAAATTATATAAAGTAATAATTTGGGGAAAAAGAAATAAATGATTTATATTATGAAATAAGAAAATAAGAATGAAATAGAAATAGTAATATAATATTGAGGAAAGAGAAAAAGATTCCTTTTTAGAGAGTAAAATAGAGAATTGGGTTGGAGTTGGTTGTCTGAAAAAATAGAGAACTCTATATCCGGAGAGTAAAATAGAGGATTGGGTTGGAGATGCCCTTATGGGTATAAATCATATTTTTCTAAAAAAGTGAAATATATTTCCCAAATACTATGGCCAAACACATGGTGAAATTTCATCCAAATTTTCACCCAAATAATATTTGCCAAGAATATTTGGAAATCTATGGCCAAACGTTAGCCAAATATGTAACATCTATTTAGTTTATTTGTTATTCTCCCATCCTACATTAGTTGTTAATTTTTTTCTTTACACTTTCGAAAAATCATAAATAAGAAAGAGTAATTTTACTAATTTATCTTCTTAATAATTTTTTCAAAAACTTCATGACCAATTTTATAATGAATTAATTTTAAAAGTAAAATAGAAAAAAATATAATTAATTCTATTTTGAATTTATAGATGGACAGAGAATTTAATAATATGACAATTAATAATTTATAATTTATAAGCAACACCGTAAGGCACAAGATTGAAGTGACAAGGGTCAAGAAGGGACAAAGTTGTAATTTTGTCGTCAGCAATGTTGGGATGTACAGAATATCCGTTTGGGCAAAACTCTGATGCTTGCTTGCCCAGATAAATGAAAATCTTAGCCCCAATACTTAGCTGAGATACCTTTCTCACTCTCTTCTAAGGATTTTATCTCTAACAAGCATCGCCAGGTGACCCATTTAGCTTCTAAAAGTTGTTTTTTTTGAAAATTTTAGTTACAAAAGTTGATTCTTTACCCTCTTAATTCTACAAGTTGGTTCAGTTTTTGGTGACCATTTTAGTTCCAGATGTTTCTTTTTTGGCAATATTTGGTGAAACTTTCTCTGTGTTTTTGGTTTTATGTACTATTTTCTGTTCTAGTTTGTTCTTTATGAACCCTTGGGGTTTAACTAAATATTATCAATAAGTGTTTTGCTGTTCTGGAGGAGTAGACTAACTGGGAGAGAAATTTATGTCTGTATTGAAAATGTCTTAAATTTTTGAGCATTTCGTAACATGAAATCCATTGTTGGCAAAATTTATATACTCCACTATTTTAGTGTTGCCATTTTTGGGTTTTGTTCTAAGTGAAACTATGCCATTGTTACCCCTATGGTAGTGTAACTGACCTTATCCTAGTTTCAGCAAGGTTGTTTAACCATCTCTTTGAAACACTGCTTATGCTATAATGCTGTAAAAACAACTCATGTTTCCGGTCTATTTGCACTAGGAAGGTTATTATGTCAAGATGCTTTGCTTGGTCCTAATTGCACATTCATGCTGCGGACTGACAAAGCTGTTATTAGTAAAATGATCAATTAGTAGTGGAAGTGTCATCATGACTTTGATAGAACAAATATTTGTGTTAGTTATCCTTTCAATTAAGCAACTTTACCTTATTGAGTAGTGATCCAGACTGATATTTCATCATCCCAAGTTTCCAGATGGCATTCGCTGTTTGCATCTTCTTACGATGCCTGCAATAGGCAAGGACTAGGATGGAGATGATCTCCCCTATGAAGAGATATGGTTATTGTTGCTTTGTTAAAATGTGTAGTGAACAAATCAACTAATTTGTTTGCTACTATCAATCTTACAATTATGTGTCCACATTTCCAGAACCATTTAAACCTTCAAATTTTGGGCATACTGGCAGGGAAGCCCTTTCAGATCTTCCACCTGCTTCCTACAATATTGTTCTCATGCCGGTTTGACACTTTGCCCATCTGTATTTTGATGCTTCATTCCTTCCAACAGTACTTACAATTTATCGTGGTGTATTCTGTTTCAGCTTTGATTCTGTGAAAAAACACCTTCCCTAAGGATGATCATACGTTCTTTGCCAAGCATATTTGCTTCGCCAAAAGTTTGTGTTCTCATAAATTTTTCACCTTTCCAAGTATTTTGATTCAGTGATAAGGATGCAGTGGGATGTGTGAACTTGGCGCACCTACCACTGGTTCGAAGCCTGGTATTTAAGTGGGAGAAAGGGTAGAGGGGTGGGCCCATACTCCCTCCAGTTTCAAATGCACAGTTAGGGTTTGGCCTAGCAAACTCACAGGAAATCTATCAATCATCAAAAAATAATTTTCTTCTTACACTTTGGGCAGTTCTTTCAAGAAGAATGTGGTAAAAGTGTATTAGCCATCATAACCTTACTTCTATTTTGTGATTGAAATCTATTTCCATAAACAGAAAGAGAAAGAGAAATTTAAAATCTAGCAACAGAATGATTTTTTACACTAAAAGGACACTTGCTGTTTATCTTTATTATTTTTTGGTTTTTCAGTTTCCTGACACTAGCTATTTTAGTGTTTTTTTGTATTGGTTTTCAGTTTTCTTGTTAGCTTTCCTATTTTGTATTTCCTAGATAGCATAGGAGTCTGCGTTCTGCTCTGATTCTTTTTTTCTTAGTTTTGCAGGTTTAAGAAAGTTTAGATTCATATCGAGGCGGCTATCATGGCACATTTACTTTCTACTACGTGTTCTTTAGATGTCTCTTCCAGCAACAAGCTGCATTTCAAGTCAATTAACCAATGCTCTACTCCTATTCCAACATCTTTTAATATGGGAATTTCTTTCTCACCCTTGAAAAAGCTAAGTTTGCAAAGCAAAAGGTCTGCAAAATATGTGGTCAGAGCTTCAGCTGTTTCCATGAGCCAAGAAGCCAGAACCCAGAATGACTCTGGTTCTCAACAGACCACTGATGGAGCCTCCACTAGGAAGAAGGTCATGGTCATTGGTGGGGATGGCTATTGTGGCTGGGCTACTGCTCTCCACCTATCCAACAAGGGATATGAAGTTGCCATTGTTGACAACCTTATCCGTCGCCTATTTGACGACCAGCTTGGTCTAGATTCTCTAACACCCATCTCATCAATCCATAACCGCATAAGGCGTTGGAAATCTCTCACAGGAAAAGACATTCAACTGTTTGTTGGTGATATATGTGAGTTTGAGTTCTTGGCAGAAGCCTTCAAATCCTTTGAACCTGATGCTGTAGTCCATTTTGGAGAGCAGAGGTCTGCCCCTTATTCTATGATTGATAGGTCAAGAGCTATTTATACCCAACATAATAATGTGATAGGGACACTTAATGTACTATTTGCCATAAAGGAGTTTAGGGAAGAGTG